CCCCCTATCTGCCCTTCTGGTAAATCTAGTCAGCCAGAGGTCCCTGTTCCAGGAGGATCAGCTGTTCCTCAACCTTGTTTTAAACTTTAGTGTGTTCTTACTGTCTCTTCACAAGGCAAATGATTCAGAAACATACCACTCATAAGGTATGTTGATAGTTTATGTTTCTAATAAGTGAAATTATTTCCTTAAAAAAGATGTACTTTCTTTTTAACAGATTTTGCAAGAATTTATTAGGATCAAGGTAGATGTCTATATTGTTGGAACTGATGGTAAGTTTGTTATTTACTTAGAGACAGCATCTCACTATGTAGCTCAGGTTAACCTCAAACTTCCTGCCTTAGTCTCCCAAATACTGGGGTTACAGGTTATGTGCTACAATGCCTAGTTAAATATGTGGTAACATGTTCTTTCTCCCAGTGCTTGAGATGGAACAAGGTTCTTTTAGTTTTATTTAATGCTCTGACAGTCACTTCAGACTCACTTGTCAATCTAACAGCCTGTATTTCATGAGATTGCAAAGAAGGAAATCTTTTTCCAACTGAACCAATAGAAATTCCTGCAGAGGGGTTGTTGAGATGGCCCCAAGTTAAGAAAACTTGCTGCTTTGCAGAGGTTTGGATCTCAGCACCCACATGACAATTCACAACTGTCTGTAACTCTAGTTCCATGGACTCTAATGTTTTCTTCTGGTCTCTGAGGGCACCAGATATGCATACAGTACACGTACATGCAGACAACACACTCACATAAAATAAAAATATTTTTAAAATTCCATTGGAACCAGGCAGGGTGGCACATGCTTTCAATTCCAGCACTCAGGAGGCAGAGGCAGGTGGATCTCTGTGAGATTGAGGCCAGCCTGGTCTTCATAGTGAGTTCCAAGTCAGCTGGGGCTATAAGGAGACTGTCTCAAAAAAGAAAAAAAAAAATCCCTATGGAAATCACAGGCTTATGTTTTTGCTTTGTTAATGTGATTAAATTAGTTTTATTACTTGGATCCTAATTTAATAGGAAGCAAATGAGTGGATAACTACTTTTCAATCTAATCTTGCAGAAAAAGCAGTTTGGTTTTGCTTGCCAAATCCATCTATAACCAATTTAATCAAGATTAAAGGCCTCCTCCTAAGTGTCCTCCTTCCTGAGCCTGCTTGAGCATTTGACTTTAAGCATTTTCTTTAAAACCCTCCCTCCCTGAGCTCTGTGAGCCCCTTCTTCTGATTCACCTCCCACCTCTCTATTAGTACCTTAGTTTCTGGCACTGACTCTTCAATTAGTCCTTAGCATTTCCTGAGGCTTCAACCTTAAACTCTAGTGATGTAATTTCCTGAACTCTTTCTAGCCATTCAAATGTATCAGCATGCTAAGGAATCCCTAAACTATCTCTAACCCAAACCATAGTTGAAAACCATGTATCTGACTGACCAGAAGTCCCCCAGGCATTTTAGATACACATGTTCGAAACTGCATGTATGGTCCTTCCTCTCCAACTGTCCCTGCTTTCTAGTCTTGATTGCTGTTATTTACTTCACCTTGTTCCTCAATGTAGATCCCCAGCATCATCTTTCCTCTTTCTCCCCTCATCTTAGTCTATTAGCCACTGAGTCCTACAAATACCCCATTCTCAGATCAGAATCTTTCCATTCCCAAACTCTTATCCAGTTTCACATTGGTACTCAGGACAACCTAACCAGTGTATTTGTTCATAACTAGAATGATTTCTCTTCATGTTGTTCTGACTAAAAAAAATTCCTTCAACAATTTTTCTAGCAAACACTGTGAAAATTTCCTTCTTTACCCAGTGCTGGGTCTTCAGAGTGCAGCTGCAGGATGCATACATATCACATTGTTCTGTGGTTCTGTTTGTGTCCCCACATCTCTTCCAGAGACTTTCTTATACCCTGTCTCCTGCCTAGTTCATAGGACATGATGAGACATTCAATTTAATAGACTTACTGAATGCTTACTACGTGTCAGGCACTGTTTGTGTGTGAACACAGTGAATGACAAACTCCTGCCTTCATGAAGCTAAGTTTCATGGGAAAGCCATATCATCATCAAACAAAATAAGTAATGTGACATTTGAGTGGAGATTGTCCTGAAAGGAGTCAACCTTGACAGCATCTCAGCAGTACATTTAGGGAAAGTTGACAACTGGTTCAGAAAAACTGGTATCTTCTTTCCTGATTCCTACCCTACAAATGACTTTCAAGGGTCTAGTTTCAAGAATTCTTATAATAAAAATAATCCCATGATCCCAGTAACCTCTTAATTTACTGAATTGCTTTATTCCGTCTCTACCATTGCAGATCTTTTTGATCCATCTGCCTCTGCTGTCCAGCATCCCTCTCAGTCTGACGCCATCACCCCGCCCCCGCCCTCGTTTCCTCTTGCTTTTCCTTGGTCACCTGTTGAAAGCATACCTGTGACCAGACTTTAATATTTTCTTTTTCTCTCCACCTTTCTCCAAATCCTAGACACGGTAAAATGGTATTGCTCTTCTAACTTTTCCTAGATACCCACTAGGAAGAGACAGCCTTCATTTGCTGCCAGAATTCCCATAGTGTATGTCCTGTACTTTCGTTCATTAAGCAAAACAATAATAGGACCTACTATGTGCTAGGTGTTACAGTTACAAGAATAAAAGAAAAAACTCAAATGCCCCTTGTCACCATTGTATGAGTTTTCCTGTCAGTAATAGTTATATGTAAATGCCCTTTCTTTTTTTTATGTCCTTTCTTCTTTATGGGTCAAATTCTAATTTACCTTTTGATCTTTTTATTGCTCAGCCAGAGCTTTACACATAGTAGATAAGGTCATATTTGGTTGAGTAATCTGTGCAAACAAATGTTGGTTAGTTGTCTACAAGAATGGGACTTCTCAACGGTGATGGGGAAGGCAATGTGAGACGCTAAAGAAGACATTTTATGATAAATTCCAGCAGCTTTGAGAACATGGGCTACAGTTAAATAACTGGGAGATAATGGCCTAGCACAGCAGCACATTACTGATCTGGAAGCATGCTTCTCTAATTTGGAAGAATCCAGGTTTTCAACAAGCCACACTTGTTGCAGTCATTAAGTAGGGGCGCTAACTCACTAGGTTCCTGCTAACTAAAAGTAGAATAATTTCTTCTAGGAACTAAGATTTTCGCATTTGAATTTTTTCCTTTTCACATTAGGGCATTACATATGTAACTGATACCAAAAGTCAATGAAATGCACATTTGCAAATGGACTTTCAAATTAGCAGTCTCCAGGGGGCACAATTCCTTTAAGTAATATTACCTCCTTTTTTTTTTCTTCAGATGATTTCATTGACAAGCTTGTGAGGTGTGAATTTTTTGATGATGAAGTCACAGACTCAATATTTTTCTTAACAATCCATGATGCTGTTTTGCATATTTTGATGAAGAAGGACTACAACACTTCAAAGTTCAGTTCCAGTCAGGTACTAGCTTTTGATGACGTAGTCACATTTGTAACCAACTTAAAGTTTCCTTTACATTTCAACATTTAAAAAATTGGTCCCTGATCCCCTTCCACTCTTCTCAGGAAAAAGAAATGAAATCTGACTTTACCATCAACACAAATGGAGGACTGCGTAATCGGGAATGTCTGGTAAGATTCTTCAACAGCACAGCACCCCCCCCCCGAAAAAAAAGCTAGTGAAAGTTCAGTGATAGCCAATAGCAAAGGGGAAGTGGAAGGTCATCCCAGAAAGTGAGATAAAGGACAGCACAGCCTAGGCAAGCACCATGATGCTGCCTCCTAGCATTGACTTCAGAGAAGCCCAAACTCAATACTTCACTAGAGTCCAAAAAAATAAAAAGGAAGAAGGGAGGGAGGGAGGGAGGGAGGGAGGGAGGGAAGGAGGGAGGGAGGGAAGCAACCCTGACTGGATCCCCTGCCTCCCAAATATCCCACCCCTTTGCCCCAGTAGAGGCTTCAATATTGTAAGTACTAGGATAAAGTCTAAGAATACCAGTTAACTCTGATATCTGATCGGAGCTTTAGAAACAATTGTCTGAGTGTAGTCAGCACCATGGTATACCTTGCCTTCTCAGGCTGAAAAAGAAATATTTAACACCAGCTCCTGGCTTTGCTTAGAGAAGATAAAACAATAGTTGTGAATAGGCAACCAGCTGGGAGTGAAAACAGAATATGAGATGGCTCAGGGGTAAGGGTGCTTGCTGCCAAACCTGACAACCTGAGTTCGATCCCCAGAACCCACATGGTGGAGAAAACTGATTCCTCAAAGTTGTCCTCTGACTTCAGACGTCCATGTGTGTGCCATGGCATGCCCCACCCCCCAAATAAATACAGGCAAAAAAATTAAAAAGCAAAACAATATGCCTGACTAGCACACATGGTTCCCTGGAGTTTAAGTGACTCAAAACAAATGTAAGGAAATTCACTGCTACAACATACTGTATTGTTAACATTGCTTAAGCTACAGTAGGTCTTTGAAACACACACAAGACAAGTTAAACATTGTATCATGCGAATCTGTGCAAAGCAAGCAGCAATGGAACATCCTTAAATTTTTTTTTTTTTTAATTGTTGGTAGCTGGTAAGTTCTAGATCCTAACATAGGAAAGAACTTAACAAATGGTTTAAAACAAGAACTTTCTGTCTTCTTCCAGGTGCCAGTTGAAACGAAATTCTAATCAAGATGTAATTCAGGATTCTCATCTAACTGTCCTATCAAGAACAACTTTACACCTAGAAAGTTATTGATAAGTTCATACACTGTATGAAGGATATTTTTATTTGACAGAATTATGTTTCAAACTTTGGAACGAGATTGTTCTAGCATGGTATATTTTTCACATATTTAGTATGAAATTATGTAACTATTCCTAATTTTATACCTTGTAGATTTATCAAAGGAAGAAAAGTATTTTGTTTATATGTATTTTTGTAGCACTGACAGATTTCCATCCAAGTCATTACATGTTTCTGGTGTATTTACACTACTGCTTTGAATCTCCTAACTTATACAAGTCATGCTAATATATCTCTACTTAAAAAATTAAGTTGTACAGGTGTGTTATTAAATTTATTGTTAGTTTTCTGAAACATGCTTGTTGTGAATCCCTTCTAGAGTGGCGTGGTGAATCTTTTAACAGAACTCCTGCAATGAGATTTCTTTGACCAGATTTATGATTATCACTCCAATTTTAAAGCTTCTAACCTATCTAGATTCAAACACAATCCTAATGACGCATATGAAATTATTACATAAGTGGCTTTCAAGGCAAAGCCTTACTTCCCCCTTCCTGGTATGAAAACTGTATAAGGTAATGGGGGCTATAAAACGACAAAGCAAGGACATGAAGGAGGCTGAACAGGAGCCAATTCTTCCTGGTCTCACTGGGAGATAATGCTAGGTAGGAAAACGCATGGCCGTATTTTCACTGCTGACCACTCTCTAACTTGTGAGACAGGCAGTAAGTTCTAGAGCTTTTCACTGGAGAATAAGATTCAGCACCATTATGTTTCCCATTTGTTCTTGGTATTGTCTTGTTGCAAATCTGTTTTTATTCATGTGACATTTAGAAATTAAACATCAGCACTAGCAACAAAAGATTCAGTGCTATCTATTAAAAGTCAAACTACTTTTGTCGATGTGAAAGCTGTCTCAATTATTTTAGACTTACCTCTCAATACTCATGAAGGTTCTCATTCATCCTTTACTGAGCTTGTCTATTAAAGTCCAAATACAGAAAGATAAAATAAAGGTTATTTAAATAGTGATCTTAAGTGAAAACTTGAGAACCAGCACTTTACACAATATTTCTTAAGCTTTTTAATAAAAAGAATTATTTTTTGAGTGTTTATCTGCATGTATGTAAGTGCATCATCACATGCATGCAATGCCCACCAAGGCTAGAAGAGGGCATCAGATCCCCTGGAACTACAGTTATGGATGCTTGTTAGTATCCATGTGGGTGCTGGGAACTGAACCCAGGTTCTCTGCAAGAGCAGCCAGCACTCTTAACCACTGAGTCATCTCTCCAGCCTCCCCTGCACCCCACTTCTCACTACCCCTTAAGCTTTTTGAGTCATGAACACCTTATGCACCATGTAGGTTTTAGGATATGTGTGCGGGCGTACAGATATATATGCCAGTAAATTGCAGAGTAAGACTTTTTCCTTCAGAGGAGCTGATTGTTTGGCTTAGGAGTGAGGCAAGAGCTTCAAGTTTATATTGAATCCCCATTAGGGTCTGCATCATCCCAGGCAATGGCACCCTCTACATTCTTGCCAACCAAAATTACAGGGAAGAGGAACCTCACTCCAGTTCTTGCACCAACATCACATACAGTCAACCTTAACATCTTAGAGGCTCACTGATATCCTCATCCTCAAATGTTTCTTTTCTCCTCTAAGGTAAAATATGCTTAGAGTCATAGGAATTGGTGTGCCTGTGCATCAATTTATCTGCTTCAGAGCCAATCCTAGAACTAGTAACTGAAGTCTGACTCCTAATCAGGAAGAGGTTAAGAGACTGCATTGGAAGATAAAGACAAAAGTAAAACTGAGGTGAAGCAGAGCAATCTTGAAAGGATGTAACTGGGAGACAAAATAACCTGGAGTCAAAAACTTTACTCAAATTAAAAAAGGTTGAGGTCAAGCTGTGGTGGTGCACGCCTTTAATCCCAGCACTCGGGAGGCAGAGGCAAGCAGATCTCTGTGAGTTCAAGGCCGGCCTGGTCTACACAGTGAGTTCCAGGACAGCTGGGGCTACAGGGAGACCCTGTCTCAAAGAGCCCCCCCCCCCAAAAAAGGTTGAATTTGGGGGCTGGAGAGGGCTCAATGATTGTGTACTGCTCTTGCAGAGGACTTGAGTTTAGTTTCCAGCATGCAGCTCACAAAAGCTTGTAACTACACCTCCAGGGGGATCTAACACCTCTGGCTTTCTTAACTATCTGCATTCATATGACATATCCATAGACACACATAAACAATACACATTTTTTAAAAAGGTTGAATCTAATACATGTTAAAATTACTCTAAATAATTGAACTTTGATATAGTTGCTTAACGGTATATCACTTGGGAGTGTTTCTTTTTTTTTGTTTTGTTTTTTTTTTTGAGTCAGGGTCTCCCTGTAGACCCAGCTGGCCTGGAACTCATCGTGGAGGACAGGCTGGCTAAACTCAGAAATAATATAGGTGTATTTTGTATGTTTGTTCCAAAGTTATTAATTTAGCATTATACAATTAAATGTAACCTAAAAGCTATTAATTATTCATGTTCTGAATTAAATAATTTCTTACAAGTTCTGTGTATGCAATCTAGTAACTCATTTTTAAGGGTAAAAATCTTTTCCTCACTACCATTCCTTGAAGACGAATACACAGAGAATCTTTTGAGGAAAGAGCTATAAAAAACAATTCCTAAAGCTAGGAATGGAATGTAAGAACAGGGATCATAACTACTTGGTCCATTTTATGTCCCTAAGTGCTTAATTTTCTATACGCATTCACGTGCCCCCTCAAGTCACCCAGTTCTTAAGGTGTGAGCTACCATAGTCCCCTCTAGTATAATTATGAAAACACCTTGACTTCTGTGTCCATCTTTGCCTCACACCTAGCAAGAATCATTCTTTTAAAAGAGCTCTATCATTCCACAATGGCTTCTCATCTCAGAGTAAGGTCAAAGACTTTATTCCTGTTATTAACTTTTAAAAAAATATTTTATTATTTTTATGTGTATGGGCGTATTGTCTGCATGTAGGTAGATGCAATGGTTGACGTGCAATGCCCACGAAATCAGAAGAGGGCACTGGATCCCCTGGAACTCGAGTTACAGTTGTTAGCCACCATGTGAGTGCTAGGAATCAAATCATTTCTCTGCAAGAGCTGCCAGTGCTCTTAACTGCTGAACCATTGCTCCAGCTCAAGACTTCATAGTTTGGAAAGCGCCCCCCCCCAATCCACCCCCATGACTTTCACCTATTTAAAATCTTAGCTCAAATTAAAAAAAAAAAAATCTTAGCTCAAATGCCATCTCTTCAATGCTTTCTAACATGTCCCTCCAAAGTTACAAACCACCCAATTATCCTGACTGGTCTTCCCATAAGATTCTGACACATGTCTAACGCAGTATATAATTTCATAACATTTAGGAGTGTCTAAAGACTAGGGCATCCCAAGTGCTTAGCACTGTCCAGTGCATAAATATTTCAACAAACTAAACTTTATATTCCACAATAGTCCAGTACAAATTACCAAATACCACTTAAGAAATACATTTAGCAGGAATTAGGATGCTTACCAGGGGATGGAGCCCATTTAGTTGTCAGATTTGTACTAAAACTAGCTACAAATCAAAATGGTAAGAATACTTAATAAGGGAGGCTGAGACAGTGGTCAATGGGATCTTTACTTCCTTCTACATGATTTTTCTTTAATGAGTACAAACTTTAAAATAAAAATATAAAGGTTTGGAAAGTACTAGAAGTAAAAGGGAGTTTTTCAATCTGAAGGAAAGTAAATTTCAAGGTAGCATAAAAGATGGCCTTAAATGTAGTATGAAGGGCAGTGCTCGTAAGTACTTAAGAGTAGAGGGGAGATACTCTTAGGTCACATAGCATTTTAGAAAGATTTTCCAAAAAGATGATCCTGCCCCTGTGTGAAAACTGCATCTGACTTGTCCGATGCAATTGTGTGATTCTATATTGCCTAAAAACTAAGAAGACAAGAAAATGAACTTTAATGAGGTACTTTAAGCATTCTGCTTTCCCCTTGATGAAAACCTTGAAGAGGTGTTAATCAAAACAAGGTGTTGTAAAAACCAAATCCATTTTTATTAGAAGTACTTCAAAACATTTATCTGGCTTCTCATCCATTCCTCTCCAAGCTTGGAATAGCCCATACTGATTTATTAGACTGCACAATTATTACTATAAGCAACTTCTGCTTGGTTCCTATAGATCAGAATTTAACAAATTATAAACCAGTGAATAAAGAAATTCATTTCAATCAGAAAACAGTGTTTGAGTATGATTATGTCAAGCTTCATTTAATATCAATCAATCTGATGGCTAATCTGAGAAATGTTTTCATTTTAGGTACTTGTAATTTTCAATGTACTTTTTTAAAAATATTAGCTCAGATAGGACTGTGACACTTTTCAAAAATAACATTTAAAAACTCTCCAAATGTATTTTTTAATCAGTTCTGTATACCTCATACAGTAAATACCTACTATTTAAGAATTTTTAAATATTCAACTTTTTTCTATTTATATTTCAGTTATACCTGATTAGTACTTATGTAATTTTGAGAAAATAGGTTTACAGTGCAAAATGAGTAAAGCTCCTTATAATCTTAGCAATGGATCTTTCTTCAAATACGGTATTATATGCTAAACAAATATGCCAAAGAAACAACATCCAGCTTCTTGGTTGTAATCTTTTAAAAAGAAAATCTAACTTTCCTGTAGAATGTTCCATCAATGTAACCACAGCAAGTTCTGTATTCCCCCAAATGTATCACCATTAGGTTAAAAATCCTTCTAGGCAAAATAGTATTTATGCTTCCATTTTATTGTTTTTAAGAATTAAACTGCCACCTCAGTAGTCTTAAGAGCAATATAATGAAACATACATACATTTAGACTTTTGTCCATCATAGCTTCAAAGGCTTCCCTGAAATAAGGCTAGGATTCACATCTTTTTCCTTAAAAAAAAAAAAAAAAATACTAACAGTAATTTTATCTTTCTACCCACCCACCCTCATTCAAACAATTAACTGATGAATTCAAGTCTAACAACTCTTGGAATTTTTTGTCTGCGGCAAGGCATTCGTCTGATCTGCTTCCCTGTACAACATATATTAAATGCAACTGAGAAATCATTTTTAAAACCCTGTAAGAATTCTCATAATGTGGAATTTTACCATGATACTGATTTTTTGGTCCAAAATACAGGGTAAGTGGTTTCTCACCCCATTCAATTCCAGTAGATGTCAATAAAAAGAGAGCTTTTTAGAAATAGTTAAGAAGATCTAATATGAATTTAGTTATTTTCTATTTATATGAAATAATGATTTGAATTTTAGCAGTAATATTTTAGTAGCTCCGAAATGGGCATGAAAAGGCAAAAGTTTGCAGCAATCCAAGTACCTACAGTAATATGACAGAAACACTCACCACATCACGCTATTTCACTCCCATGCTTCTAACAAGAATTTCCCACTAGAAATAGTACATTAACAAGGTAGACTCTGAAACTGCTAAGTGTGAAAAATTACTTGCTTAAGAAAAAAAACTATCAGTTATTTTTGCCAGTCAAGGTTGAAATGGTCATTTATGTTATTTCTTACTTCTGAGCCAAGTTCAGAAGTGAGTTTGCATCTGATCATCCAACATGAGAATGTTTTACCTGTACCTGACAGAATAAAATGGTATAATAGCGATCAATTGACCCTTTGTCAAAAACAAATGTTCTAAATTTATACACTATAAACTATCTAATAAATGATATCTGCATACTACAAGTTATGTTTATATTATGCACCATTTTATAGGGGGGAGGAAAAACTTCACAGGGGTTTAGTCAATTCAAAGGATATATAATAATATCCTAAGAATGTTGAGTTATACATATGAGATCCATATAAACTGTGAGTGGTCATCTTAGCTGGACAGTAACAAGTCCCTATAATGCAAAAGCTGACTCTAAAGGCACCTTATACAGCACTGAAATTCACAACTTAGTTATTACTTTTCCTCTGTCCAATACAAAATTGTCTGGTTGTCTTCACTCTTGACTCCATAGTAAAATGTTCCAAGTTTACCAACAAAAAAAAAAATAAGTTTTAAAATTTTGAGTTAGAAGAAAAACTCTTATCACATAGCAATGAAACCTGAGCAAATGCCAGTTTGTGATTAATACATTGTGATTAAGCCTTTGTTAATACATTACTCAAATTCCTCTGCAGCATTCAAGTTGCAGTTTATAACCCAATAAACAAGAACTTAACTAATGCACAGAATTAAACTACCAAGAACTGTGGATTTAAATAACATCTATTCAGCCTTAAATTTAAGGCAGTGAACATAGAACACACTTCATTTAAATTGTCCTATAAAATAATGTTACTTAAGATTATTATGATGCATTACGTGATTCCAACCACTCAGAAAAAAAGCATAATAGCATCCCACCATTAGCCTGGAGCCTGTAGAGCTGGTTGTAGGTTTCCAAATGATTAAAAGTCTGTAATATGACAAACACATATACCGCTATTGGCACTCTAATGTATTTGGGTGCTCCTGAGGCTGTCTAAACAGGAAAAGGCATCCAAGTGAAGCACATCATACAATTAATTACCATACCTCAAAATTTCAGTGCCTAAAATGGGAAATAATTCTCTATCATTTTAACAGTCTGCCTGATAACAATTTTAGTAGATTTTACTTTTAAGATTTTATTGTAACTTTGGGACATTAGTGGTAAAACGCATGGTTTTAAAAAACAGTACTTGGCTGCACTTAAATTGTCATAAAAATAGCATTTTTTACAACCATGTTGAAATTTAATCCTTTTACACAGGTTAACAAAATGTATCACAAGAAAAACTAAACATTAGGTTTAATAAAAGCAATACTTTTGAAACTGGAACAATGAAATTTTTTCAAATTTTTTACAAATGGTCACTTCTGGGTCAATTTACCACACTAAAGTAACAGTTGTTCAAATACAGTTGTGTTCAACTGAGCCACTTATCTGCACTACAGTATAGTACTTGAAATCAATCCTAAGGTCAAGATTTAAAACCATCTTAAGAGACAAGACTTTATGTGTTTTTTATAGCCACCTCAGAAGAGGTAATTTTTTCCTTCCCCAAACAGTCAAAGCTTAATTAAAAGATTGACTAACGTTTTTTTCCTTGTTATATCTTCAGTTCAAAACACTATTATCATTGGTAATACGGCCTGTATCTTGTCTGATCTGGATGATGTGGTCCAGGAAGAGGGGTTTGAGAAGGCGGGCCCTGCATTCGTGGAGGTGGTGGTGGCCCTCTTGGTGCAGGCCATATACTAGGACTCATTCCTCCTGGTTGTGTAAATGGAGGACTCAGAGTTCCTTGATCTTCAGTAAACTGGGGTAAAGAGTTAGGATTGTAATGGTGAGGAGGGGGTGCAGTTACAGGTGGACCACCATGCTGAGGTGGGGGAGGTCCTGGAGGAGGATGATTCATATAAGGTGGCATTTGGGCAATAATATGTCCAGGGGGAGGGGTTATTGGTGGTGGAGCAGAGGTCATTGGTGGAGGTGGAGCTTGGCTATACACCAAGTGAGGAGTACCTGCGGCCTGGGGAGGATGTGGCATTGGATGGCTTATTGGTGGTGGAGGAGGTGGGGGTGGTGCATAATGTTGCTGTGGAGGCATAATATGATGAGGGTGCGATACCACTGGTTGACCCTGATATTCAGGATGATGGTGAGCAGGTGCTGGGGCAGGAGGTGGTGGTTCTCTAGCACCTGAATTTGAGTCATCCTGAATAGGGACAGTTATTAAATTGCTGTGTTTTCTTGTTGAAATACGAAAGCTTTCCTGACTGACTGAGCGAGGTGGAGGTGGAGCCATGGACAACTCCGTTGGAGGAGCACGAATATCCTCATGTGGTTGATTATAGTGCTCGTGTGGCACATGCTGCAAAGGAGGTGGTGGCATCATGATGTGCTGCTTTGGAGGAATATGGCTCATATGATGCTTGTCTGGTGGCATTATAAAACGATCAGGGATTTCAGTTGGTGGCGGGGCAATAGGAGGATGAACATTTTCAAGTGAAGCACGGGTAACAGGCTTTCCAGCTCTCATATGACGATGGTTGATATGAGCTTGTAAGTCTCTCTGAGATAGGTATGTTCTCTTGCAACCTTGAACAATACTACACATGAAGAGAGAACCTCGTGTACACTGTTCAATTCGCTGCACAGGATCACTACAGCTGAATTAGAAAGGGAAAAAAATTGATTCACTAAAAAAAACAGAAAATAAAACAAAGGCATGCATCTATTTTCAATTTTTTTGTCCACTTTTAAAATGTTACATAAAATACAAGAAATGCTAACAAAAGTTACTCTTAGCCATTATTAATCTTCCTCACTCGTCTTAGGCACTAATCAGCATTTCTACCAACCTCAGAACTTTCTATGTCAGAAAAGAATGACACTATAAATAGAATGCTTTTTAAAATTTTTATTTATTGTTTTAATTTTATGTGTATAAGTGTATTAGCCACATGCATTTGAGTGCAACCATGTTGTGCAAAGCCCATGGAGGTCAGAAGAGGGCGTCAGATTCCTTGGAACTAGAGTTACAGATGGTTGTTAGCAGCCATGTGGGTTCTGAGATTCAAACCCAGGTCCTCTGCAAAAGCAGCCAGTGCACTTAACGGCTGAGCTACCATTTCTCCAACCCCAAATAGAATGTTTGTAAGAGACATTATGAACTGAATTTTCTCCAACTACTCTATGCTAAGTATTCATTCAGAAAAAAAAAAAAAATCCAGCGTGGATAAAGCAAAGGATCTGCCATTTATCACCATGGAATTCAAAGCTGTATATACAAGTATTACCCAGAAGTATTTTCTGGGTAACTGCTAAGTGGAAGACAATAGGTGGAAGAGCTGCACAGACATCATCCTAATTACAACCATCCTAATCAGCAGGGCTCTTAACATCAACCACAAATGATTTCTGTTCAAATTCTGACTATCAGAGTTCATTAAGGAAGATTTTTCGGAACTTTCAGACATATTTACTACTCAAATTTGGTAGAATTTCTTGTTTTTTAATTGAGAGCACTAAATTGAACATTTTCTTTATGATTCAGGGACAAAACTATAACTACTCTACATTTAATCCAATCTTGCCCTTGCCCTTTAAATTCCTCATGACACAGTGGAGAATGGAACTAAAAACTCAAAAGATCTGAGATTTTCTATTGAATATAATTTGGAGGATATTTAATCATTTTGAGTTTGTTTCCTCATTTTGTTTTTTGAGACAGGGTCCCTGTAGCCTTGACTGGCCTGGGACTTGCTATGTAGACCAGGCTGGTCTCAATCAATCAGCCTGCCTCTGCCTCCCAGTACTGATGGGAAAGTCATGTGCCACCAGCCCAGCCCTGTTTCCTTGTTTTAGTTCACAGTGTTTCTACATCCATTTGACTTTACTTTGAAAAGTATTAAGATTATCAAAATACATTGTGTGAAATTCTCAAAAACTACAATACTGTATTAAGCAATAAAAAGTAATAAGATTATATGCAAGTGACTTTAAAACACTGCATATGCACTAAAATAAGCTGTTGTCATTGAGTATGTGTGTTGGGTCACCTGATGCTGTGGCTCTATATTTGTGATTTTCACAGCTGTATCTATTCTTCCATCCTCACCATAAGGCTAATACTTCATATTTTTTTCAAGATTTACTTTAATTTTATGTATGAGTGGTACATCTAAGTGTGCCACTTGAGTACCTGGTGCCCAAAGAGTACAGAAGAGGGTGTCGGATCCCCCAGAACTGGAGTTACAGGTGGTTCTGAATTGCCATATGGGTACTGGGAACCGAACCCAGGACCTCTGCCAACAACAGCCAGTGATCTTAATCACTGAGCCATCTCTCCAGCCCCTAAGGCTGGTACTTTTTGATGCTCATGTGTTTCCAATTAGTGGTCATTCAGTAGCCCCCCCCCCCCAATTCACTATAAAGTCAGAAGCATCTGCATGTCTCATCTTTGGGTGATGCCTAAAAGCAGTAGTATATACTATCCATACAAGCTCTAGTTGCTCTCTCTGTACTTCCTGAACTAGGCCTGGTAATTAATCCAGAGAGGTTCCTCTCCAGATAGAGGGCAGATGTGTACTGGAGTTACATTTAGTGCCTTGAAAACTTATTTCCTTTTAAACACTAACATTAGAATACTTAAGTAAAAAAGAAAAATTTTAAAACTATTCACTATGTTCAGTGTTTTATCATGTTTAAATTCTTTATCCTAATTGAAAAATTAAATTTACTATACAATTTTAAGGTCAATGTACACTGGATTGAAAAATTCGGCATTATAGAAAACACACAAGTGATATATGCTTCTAATTTCATATTCTTCTGAATTAGAATTCTATAGAACAACTATTCCTTAATCACAGTACATATTTTATACTTTAGAAACTAATTTTAAACTTTAGCACATAAGAAACTTAATAGAGTTATCAATAAACCATCCCTTTCTTCTAATGATGCCAATCCCTACACAATAGTCATCCCATGTGCCTGCTTCAGCAGCACATATACTAAAATTGAAATGAACACAAAGATGATTAGCACGGCCCTTGTACAAGGATGACACGCAAATTCATGAAGTGTTCCATATTAAAAAATAAATAAATAGAAATCACCCTATACAGCTGCTAATTGCTTTGTTACTAACCAATACTACTAATCTTAGGGTAACTGCAGGTTTTAAGAAACGTGAACGTTTACAACTGATCCAAGGAAGTTTCTCTCAGTCTTTCTCTCAAGTCTTCCTTGTCAGAGGTTCTAAACTGATATAAAAGTTTCACTTTATTTCAGATCCATCCCAAAACAGACCTAACCTTTCATAAGTCCCTAAACTTAAAACCCAGCTTATAAGTCATTATTATTTAAAAATGTAAAGATGACCATATCTTACCCTGGGCACATCTTATCTCCCTTTTTCTCATGTAAAATAGCACAGTCATAGCAAAAAACATGCTTGCATGGAATCTGTAAACAAAGATATCAGTTAAGCATTCTAGAACTTAAAATACTTCCATAATAAAACTAAGTACAGTGATCTACAGACAGAAGGCACATAAGAATTATTTAAATGAACCCTTGTTATGAATAACTATATAAAAACAGCAGTTAATTTTTAAGCAAAATAAATAAATAAATAAATAAATAAATAAATAAATAAATAAATAAATAAATATATGGAAGTTTTCTTAGGTTTTATTTTGTTTTTGTTTGCTTGTTTTTATTTGTTTTTGAGATATGGCTTCATTATGTAGCTCAGGTTGGTCTTCAATTCCTGATGTAGTTGGATCTCAAACTTGTGATCCTTCTACCTCAATTTCCTGAGTGCTAGGATTACAGGCATGTACCACCATGCCTGGCCATCTGCTTCTATTTTCCAGACATGTAAACCTATAAATTTTGACTAGTCTCTGCAGGTTAAAAGCTCTTGAAAAAGAGCACTGTAAACATGTTTTTTTCTTATTTCTCCTCAAGCTACTGTAAAGCAGTAAACAAACTATTAAATTCATAGTATTGCAAAACTTCCCCTAGCTATTTCATACATGTCATAAAACTGGTTATTAAAGGCCAGCTGGGGTTACAGGGAGACCCTATCTCAAAAAGAGAAAAAAAAAAAACAACCAAAAAACAAAAACAAAACAAAACAAAACCAAAATCCAAACCAAAAAAAGGTAGACAAACTAACACTTCAGAATCCTACCTCTACATAAATGCTTTCATCTACCAAACTTAATTACACTTACCATTCTCCCATAGATTTTAATAGGCAATCCACACTTGTCACAGAAATGAACTGGTGTATCATCCTTTTCACCTAAGATGTTTATCTGTTGAAATGATAAAATTAAAATTTCTTCTGTAAGCAATTCTGTAAACTGTACTATTAATTCACACAGGCAAATGGTTAGAATTTCCTAACAGTTGTTACTACAATTAGAAATAAAGGTTACTTAGTATAATCCGTATTTGCTTTTTTTCTTAAACTGTGGTTATTGATCTTATTTGATTACTGAAAATTACCTAAAATTATTTTTGGAAATAATTTTTTTTTTTTTAGTTTTATGTGTATTAGTGCTTGCATGTTTCTAAGTGCAACCGCATCATACAGTGCCTGCAGCAGACAGAAGAGGGCTTCGGACCCCCCTGCAACTGGAGTTATAGATGGCTGTTAGCTGCCATGTAGGTTTTGAACCCAGGTCTTCTGCAAATACAGCCAGTGCTTTTAACCAACCATTGAGCCATCTCTCCAGCCACAGAAGATATTAATAAGCAAGTTGACTTATGTGTGCTTAAAGTCACAAATACAATACAAAGTACCAGTACTTAATGCTTAATTTTTCATTTTTAGTTATACCTTAAAATCCCAAAAAAGGTGTCCAGGAAATCTTCGCTGATTTCCAAATAGTTCACTCCCTTTACAATCATACCGTTCTTCTTCATTATAATCAAACCCTTCTGAGAGGGGAAAAAAAAAAGTCAAACATTATTAGTTTTCAACTTCAAATGTCATTTTCAAAGTATATTTACATGGCAAAATAGGCCTATATATTGAAAAACCTTTCTGATGACTTTCAAACGTCCAAGAATATGATCATCAAAACTAGTTTAAAATGTCAACTCTACCATTTTCCAGTTGGGAATGACTTTCTGATGACTTTCAAAGGTCCATGAATATGATCATCAAAACTAGTTTAAAATGTCAACTCTACCATTTTCCAATTGGGAATACTGCAGTAGATAGTACATAGTAACCAGGTAAGCCTAGTGGTAAAGCCAAGAACAGATCAGTATCTCATTCAGTGCTCAAACCAATTCAACAGACTTCTTCTAGTATAAAACTTCCTGTCACCATCACAATCAAATTTAACTGCACAAATCTTTAAAACATGGATCTTCATTTATTCTAAACTAGCTACAAAGTGGTATCAGGCTGCGAGAGACTGCTATGATTGCCAAGGAATATAATGAAAATGAATTCTGCAGATTTTTCATGACCTCATTGTTTGACTATAAGAAAGTATGTTACATATAACCTAAAAAATAATTTACAAAAAGTCAGGTAGGTAGGGAAGCCTAGAATACAAATGGTGCAGCAGCAGCCTACGTTTCTACTAGTGCCATATATCCAGTTATTTAGCTACACATGCTACACAAGTGCTCTACCACTGAGCTATATCCTAGTCTCACCACCACACTTCAAGTATACTTCTCTATTATATGGGGAGGCAAAACTTAAAGTAAAAGAAATCATACTGTAAGGTATAATTATAGCAGTCTGATTCTAAAAAGAGACAGACTGCAAGAACTGAAAGTTTAGAAATAAGAAAGAGGTACTTCTAGAATTTTAATATGGGTTAATGGTAAGTTTCCTGTTCCACAAGGAAAAGACAGATTATCTAGTAGTTGGGTTGCTGATTAGCTGTTTTGGAGAAAAAAATAAAGCAAGACCTCACTTTTTTTCCAATAATACCCAAATATATATCTATAAATGTTCTAAAGCAACAGCTAACAAGCCTTTTCTATAAAAGGCCATTCAGTACACATTTTAGGCTTCCCAGGCTACAGCACCTTATCACAGATACTCAATTCTGCCATCACAGTGGGAAAGCAGGCATAGGCAATACTCAAATCAATGGTCATGAGTGTATTACAATAACTTTATTTTTTAAAAAAGCCAAATTTCCCTGTAGACATTGCTGACTAATAGTACAATAGGAAAGTGTTTTCATACTATTAAAATGAAGGAAGGTCCTTTTAAAAATATCTTAAAACCTGAAATAACAGTACACACTGGTTATCTGACTACCCAGATGTTCAAATTCTTTACAATAAAATTTTTACATATAGAATTCAAAAGAAAAATGGACTATACAAACATAACAGCTAGTATTACTAATTTACAAAGAACTTATAAAATCAGGAGAAGACAGCCAAACAAAAACTAAAAGGGATACGCCAAGAAACACTTAAGAAATGACTAACTCCTATGAAAAGATAGAATTTCACACACCGAGAAACTTGTATTGGCAGGGTGTAGTACCTCACGCCTATAATCCCAGCACTTAGAAGGCTGAGGCAGGAGGATTGCTAAGAGTTCAAGGCCTGATTGGGTAACAGAAACTCCATTAAAAAAAACTGTTTTAAAGTTAGTAAAAGCAAATATTGATAAGTAGGTGTATAAACCAACAAACTTTTTCTGAAGAGTCATTTATCAAGACCTGACAAATTCTAAAATGTCAAATCATTTTTGTTTTTTTTTTTCTTTGTTTTTTTTTTTCTTAAAAGACAAAAAAAAAAAAAAAAAAAAAA